CTATCCCAGGGAGCATCAGAAGTTTACACCACAGTCGCAACCCGTCCTTGGGCCAACGCCTCTCACATGCCTTCTCCGACTTTCCCGATCCGATGAGCGAGTCGAAACGATCAATACAACCCAACGAGCGCGTATGGTACGATCAGTTTACATCCACCGACTGGGTCCATGATAATATCATCGATGCCCACCGAGTCAAGGCTCTGAAGATGCGCAAGGACTTTCGGGGAAGGTTATATGCCATCTTCGACGCTTCACAAGGATGGATTCTGAGTGCGCTATGCGGTTTCATCATCGCCCTCGTCGCCTACGTAGTCAACTTATCGGAAGCCACTGTCTTCGATTATAAGTACGGATATTGCGCGCGGGGCTGGTACATTAGCGAGAGAGTATGTTTTACTGCAACCAACGACTTTTAGGAGACGCTAACGCTGTGTATAGAATTGCTGTCCGAAGCAAGGCCCTTGCGAAGATTGGCAAACCTGGTCCGAGGTTTTGAGGTTTTGGCCATTTGGAGATGTAGGCACCGAATTCACCATCTATTTGGTTGGCTGCGTTAGCTTGGCAGGCATCGCCTGTGCCATGACCTTGACCACAAAGACCGTGGTACCCTCGGCATACCGGATGACGACGTTCGACGAAAACCTCGCGGCAGAGCTTGCGCCGTACGCAGACGATCCGACGAGCGACGAAAGCCCGACTCCCCCAGAAGTCGTTGAGGCGATTGAGGCCGCTGTACCTCCCCCGATGGTGTATTACTCTGCTGCCGGGAGTGGGGTGGCCGAAGTGCGTGTCATTCTCAGTGGTTTTGTCCTGCACGGTTTCCTGGGTGTGAAAACCTTGGTCATCAAGTCTGCCGCTCTCATTCTCAGTGTGGCGTCCGGCCTCAGCCTCGGCAAAGAAGGCCCCTACGTGCACATTGCTACCTGTATTGGAAACATTGCTTGCCGTCTCTTTTCCAAGTATGACAAGAACGATGCCAAGAGGCGCGAGGTGTTGTCTGCAGCTGCAGCTGCAGGTGTGGCCGTCGCTTTTGGCGCTCCTCTAGGAGGTGTTCTCTTCGGTCTCGAGGAAGTCTCGTATTTCTTCCCAGCGAAGACACTCTTCCGCACCTTCTTCTGCTGTATTGTAGCCGCACTATCGTTGAAGTTCCTCAACCCCTACGGCACACACAAGATTGTAATGTTCCAAGTCAAGTATGTGGCAGATTGGCACTACTTTGAGATCGTCTTCTATATCGTCATCGGCATCCTGGGTGGTGCTGCCGGTGCTCTTTTCATCAAAGCCTCTAAGCACTGGGCCAAATCATTCAGAAGGATCACTTTCATCAAGACGTATCCAATGCTCGAGGTACTTCTGGTTGCTGTCGTCACCGGTATCATGAGTTATTGGAACGTCCACACAAAGCAGCCTGTGGCCAAACTGATGCTTAACCTTGCAGCCCCATGTCACGACGGCTCCGGTCGCGAAGACTATGGCCTCTGCCCAACTGCTATGAAGGACATTCCACCTGTGCTTCTCAGCCTTTTCACTGCATTCCTTATCAAAGGTTTCTTGACGATCATCACGTTTGGCATTGTAAGTACGTCCATTTCCCAATTTGATCACCATTCTAATACCCTCTCAGAAAGTTCCTGCCGGTATCTACGTTCCGTCCATGGTGGTCGGCGGTCTCATGGGCAGACTTGTCGGCCATGTGGTGCAGTACATGGTTCTGCTTTGGCCCGACTTTGGGTTGTGGGGGGCATGTGCCGCGAAGGAGGCGGGATCCTGCATTCAGCCGGGAGTATACGGTCTCATTGCTGCTGGATCAACCATGTGCGGTGTAACCCGACTCTCAGTTACACTTGCAGTCATTCTGTTCGAGCTTACCGGCAGCTTGGATTATGTTCTGCCATTCTCTCTGGCAATCTTGGTGGCCAAGTGGACTGCGGACGCCATTGAGCCGAACAGCATCTACGTAAGTTGCAGAAATGCGTTGAGTTCGGGCGGCTACTGACTATGATAGGATCTCCTGACAAGCATGAACTCGTACCCCTTCTTGGACAACAAGCACAAGCCCATTTTCACTTCGGATCTTGCAGACATCGTTCCTCGTGTCCGACGTGAACGCGTCATTGACATCAGCGCCTCTCCAGTGGTGTCTGCAGTCAGCCTTCGCAGCAAGTTGCAGACCCTCCACAGAGCTGGAGAGATTGACGGAGGTCTTCCCATCATCCGGGATGGCATCCTTGTTGGCCTAATCCCCGCTCCAGACTTGGAATTTGCTCTCGATAACTTGGATGACGAGGCATCAAGCATGTGCTTGATGGCCCAAGTTGCAACCATTGAGGACTCTGATGATGATGATGGTGAGACGGACAAGACTGATTTTACTCCATACATCGACCCCGTAAGTGGCCATCGGACCTGGCGAGTGATACCGAGGCTAATTCTCGTCAACAGGCACCTGTGGCTTTGGACATGCGATCCCCTATGGATCTTGTTTACGAGTGTTTCGTCAAGCTCGGTCTGCGCTTCGTGTGTGTGCTGAAGAATGGACGTTATGCAGGAATGGTGCGTAATTTCTTGATTGTTTGACGAGGTCTTTTGGCTAATTCTATTTCAGGTACATAAGAAGAGTTTCGTGAGATACATGCGGGAGCTTGAGGAGAAGGAGGGCCATTGATCTGGTGTCCATTTCTGGAGCAACAAACCAGAAGTTTGGGCTCAATTCACCTTTGCATTATGTTTTTGCACCTTGCCAGCATTTTCACCTCCGACATGTTTGGATACATTGTCAGAGACGGAGGAAGTCTGTTTTAGTTTTTGCATACCGCCCATGTTTCGATACTTGCGGCTTAGCGTGCCTGGGTATGGCGTTCACATCATGTTTCTCTTTAAGATACTGTCTCCTAGAGCATTCCTGGATGGTCGACTGTGCTCGAACCTGGATGTATAGCATTTTCTCTTTGGCTGGGAAAGAAGGACAGAATACTTGGGGAAAGGCTAGATTGATTATTGTGCACATAAAGAGTGTCGTCGCAACAAATGCACGAAAGTAACCGCAGCAGACAGAGTCTCATTTCCCAATCTTTCGAGACCGCTTTGAGTGAGGTTTTGGTGAAGCGATATAATTGAACAGATGTGTCAGTTAACCGGCCAAAGCCCCCCGTAGGCCGGGCATTGGCCATTCCCGTCATCGAAGATAACCTTCGGCATCCGGCGCGCATCCTCTCGGCCGCCGAAGTGGAGTCCTTCAACCGGCTTCGGCCCGACCGGACCCAGCCCGGGCTTGTCGCCACCGGGCAGAACAATTGTACCGGAGCGGAAGGTTAATGCCAGTCCTTTCTTATGCGCTTCATTCTACACTTTGGTCAAGTAGGCAACACACGCCGACGGCGAGAGGAGGGGCGAAATTCAATCTCTTAGTTTAGGTATGGCGCAAGAACCGGCAACCTTTCCCGGTTCCGGTTCTCCGGTCCCGTCATCGGTCGGTGGGCTTTTTGATTCGGCGAAGCGCTAAGGGTGGTCCCCAGATATTTGCCCCTGGTGGTGGAGATGTTCGTTTCCACCTTGGGGGGGGGGGGGGATTTATTATCCATTTCTTATCAAGGTATCTGTATCAATGGGGCTGGTGCTTATCGCCTGATCTTTGTGGTTTGCAATGCGACGGAATCACACCGAGGGTTTGGAGGGTGTATTGAGAGGATAACATCAATACATCTGGGGGAAAGAGGGTTGATGTGGCGAAAGGTAGTTTGAGAATGTTCATGAGGCTGAAGATGCGCCAAAGACGGCATAAAGGACCAACTTGGAGGCGATTGCGCGCAAAGCGAACCGATTGGGCGAAATCTGGGGTACGTTCACCGCGGTAGCGCGCTTCCTTTGCCCAGGAGGAGAAGATACCTCCTGCACCCAAGCTCCAACAGAGTTTCGTCGTATCAGGATGAACATGGCCGAGCTTCCTGTAACTAACGCAAGCTACTTACACCTGCCGAATGTGTTGATTCTCTGAAAGAGCAAGCCTGCCCGAGTGTGAAGTTTCTCGGATCTAAAGAGTGTCAACCTGCCTAAAGTGATAAGTCTGTGCCTATTCACGCCGTTTACGCGAGCCGCTGCTGGCTTTGCCGCAGGTTTTCTACTACGGGAGTAAGGTAAAGTACTTAGGGGAAGCGAGGAGAAGAGAAGGCGGCGGCGGCGTAAACGGCGTAAATTACCCCTCCAAACCAAGGCCCGTGTGTAAGGCAAGGTACCTCAGCAAGGCAGTGTGTCACTGCTATGTGTGTGTGAGGTCAGGCCCAAGGACCCCAGCTTTCAATCTGCCCCACATTTCCCTTGACTGGCACGTAATCTTGGCAGGTCTCCCCGTCATCGCATTCGCTGGGATGTTGAGAGACCTTGCTGTGCTTGCATTAGTTACCTAAGCTTCTTCCCCCGGCCAGAAAAAAGATACCAATCTTTCCGCAGTAGATAGGTGAGGTAGCTGAGGGAGTGGCGCTCGGTCTGGTCGTTGCGGTCAGGAAATCCAAGGGCAAAGGTACCTTACCTTGACTCAACTCCAGACCAGGGGACCAAAGCTCAAAACAAGACACATCCGTACTACATGCGCTACTGCGGCTGCTGCTACTACCTATCTAAGGTGCATCCGTACTTGCTCTCCACCACCGGCAACGGCAACGCGGCGTCGAGTTACGTTAGATTATCCAAGTGATAAGCCGCTGCCACCCGTAATCTATAAACTTGGTCTTCCCCCTCCCCCGCCTCGTAGGACGTCGTTCACAGCTTTCCTTCTTCTCTTTGCTCATCTTTCTTTTGCGATTGACCAATTGATACCCCCCTCTCTTCTCTCCTGCCCCTCCGATATCGCACATAGCTCCCAAGTCGCCATCGTCTCTGTACACACACCCCAGAGAAGCCGTCTCACTCTGTTGGTGACACGGCAACTGAGAGGAGCTTCAGCACTTGACTGAAGGAGAGAACTCGTACACATTCACACACACAAAAACACATCAGACACAATGGCCCTCCTCAGAGCCTCCGCGTCCCTGGCGCGTCCTGCCGCCCGCGCGGCTCGCACACCCACCGCGCGCAGAGCATTCTGCCTCTCCGCCTCGCGCATGGCCGCCGCCCCGAGCCTGTTCGCCGGCGAGCCCTCCGGCCCGGCCCTCAAGACTGACATCCCCGGCCCCGCGTCCAAGAAGGCCACCGAGGACCTGCACAAGGTCTTTGATACCCGGAGCTTGAACATGCTCACCGACTACAAGAAGAGTTTGGGCAACTACATTGCCGACGCCGACGGCAACGTCCTCCTCGATGTGTAAGTGAAATCATGTAGAAAGAGATGGATGATAGCCATACGTGGGGTCAAAAGCTTACGAAATATTGACAGCTACGCTCAAATCGCTTCCATCCCCCTGGGCTACAACAACCCGGCCCTCGCAAAGGTCGCCCAGACCCCCGAGATGGTCAACGCAATCATCAACCGCCCCGCCCTGGGCAACTTCCCCCCCGAAGACTGGGCCGAGGTCCTCCGCACCGGCATCCTCAAGGTGGCGCCCAAGGGTCTCGACCAGGTCTTCACCGCCATGGCCGGCTCCGACGCAAACGAGACTGCCTACAAGGCCGCCTTCATGTGGCGCCGCCAGCAGGAGCGCGGCGGCCCGGACGTCGAGTTCACCGCAGAGGAGACCTCCTCCGCCATGAACAACCAGTCCCCCGGCGCCTCCGACCTGTCCATCCTCTCCTTCAAGACGGGCTTCCACGGCCGCCTCTTCGGCTCCCTCTCCACCACCCGCTCCAAGCCCATCCACAAGCTCGACATCCCCGCCTTTGACTGGCCCCAGGCGACCTTCCCCTTGCTCAAGTACCCGCTCGAGGAGCACGTCGAGGAGAACGCCGCCGCCGAGAAGGCCGCCCTCGACGAGGTGGAGCACCTCATCAAGAACTACCACATCCCCCCCGCCGCCGTCATCGTCGAGCCCATCCAGTCCGAGGGCGGCGACAACCACGCCTCCCCCGCCTTCTTCCGCGGCCTCCGCGAGGTGACCAAGAAGCACAACGTCCTCCTCATCGTCGACGAGGTCCAGACCGGCGTCGGCGCCACCGGCAAGTTCTGGGCCCACGACCACTGGGACCTCCCTACCCCTCCCGACATGGTCACCTTCAGCAAAAAGGCCCAGACGGCAGGCTACTACTTCGGAAACCCCGAGCTGCGCCCCAACAAGCCCTACCGCCAGTTCAACACCTGGATGGGCGACCCGGCCCGCGCCATCCTCTTCCGCGCCATCGTCGACGAGATTGAGCGCCTCGACCTCGTCAACAACACCGCCCGCGTCGGCGACTACCTCTTCGGCAAGCTCGAGGGTCTGGCGAGCAAGTACCCCGGCCAATTCGCCAACCTCCGCGGAAAGGGCCAGGGCACCTTCATTGCCTTTGACAACCCGCGCCGCGACGAGTTCCTCAAGAAGGCAAAGGGTCTGGGCATCAACATTGGCGGATCGGGCGAGAGCGCCGTCCGTCTGAGGCCCATGCTCATCTTCCAGGAGCACCACGCTGATATCCTCATTGAGGCCCTGGAGAAGATTGTCAAGTCTTGGTAAAAGAAAGAAAAAAGTCAGTAGGCTCAAGTAAAATGGTTCAAATGTGGCTCATGTTGTCTGGGTGTTTTTAATGGAAGCATTATCTGCGATTGGGGGTTTCATCTGGTCAATATCATGATTTAGCGTATGAGTATCAGTCTCTGAACAAAACAAGTTCACAAGAGGACATTTTGAAAAGAAACGATTTCTACAATAATGCCAATCCTTCATAGTTCATAGCTTTCAAGACCGGCACTTGGCGGTCCGGTTTGTGTGACTCCCGCAAGATTTGCACGCCCATCCGAGCGGAAATGAGACCATGTATCCCAGGTCCTACCATATCGTACACTTCTCTGTCATGTCCAGTCCATATACCTCGTCCCGTGGTTACACGTCTGTCTCCCCTGAACTCCTTGAACCAGATGAAAAAGGCAAATAACCACCTCTCACCGCCTTGTTCTGTCCACAGCAGGCATATGCAAAATAAAATTATAAAAAAAAGTCCGACAACGCCATAAGCTTTAGAAATACACACCCATTGTACCAGACAACTGCTGCACAGGATGGGCCAAAGAGGTCTTGTACTAAGCCGTCGCTGGCAAATCAAAGGCCGTACAACGGCCATGATGAGACTTTGCCTTTTCAGGCTGTGGTTTCGAAGGTATAGCAGTGGATGGATGGTTTCAAATCATCATCGCAGCAGGCTCGTCAAGAACTGCTAACTCGCCAGCCCTTCTTGTTGTAAGTGGCCAATATTCGAGATGGCCTTTTCCTTTTGCGAATCCGACACATTTTCGTCCTCGTTGTAGGCGTCTCTGGGTATGTCATCAGATTGCTGGCGCGATGATTCACTTGGTGTTGACCGCCCAGACTCTGTCTTGGTTTGTTCGCCTGTGGAAGTGCCCTAGGGTGCGGATCAGGACTTTGAATCAACTCGCAAAACCATGTCCACTCACCAACTGTGTCCTGCCAAACGACTTTGGCCGACCTCGTCCTCGCCTTGTTGGCTCGTTGGCGGCCTCAGAAGGTGGACCGGGTGATAATCTGTACACGGCGAACTCTCCTGGTGTTGTTGGGCTTTCCCTAGCTATCGGCCGGGGCGCCGGCGCCAGAGGTGTAAGGTGCTGCGGCAGCAAAGGTCGTAGTTGTCTCGCCTTGTCCGCCCGTGATGGTCGACCTCGTTTCCGCGGGAGCGGCGCTTGCTGTTGTTGGCCGGGGCTTTGAGAGCCGTTGGTCACCCCGGCGATTTCCATGCCGGCGGGTCGCGGCTGTATGTTGGCAAGCTGCTGATTATGCAGCTGTGGAGGCGCTGGCAATAACGACGATACGGGCATCGAGCTTGAGTAGGATGCGAGGCCTTGAGTTGCTGAGGCCAAGGGTGGTAACTGCGCTGGTGGCTCCATAGGCGATGCGGCAGCCAAACGCTTTGGTGGCTGTTCGAGGAGGTCGTTCATGGACTTCCGCTTGAGGTCTGGCACCCGCATGGGACCTTGAAACATCTGCTCGGTGACCGCGAGACATTGTCCCATAGTGCGGCCTGTATGGTAAATGTCAGCATGAAACCTGGAGTTCGTCAAGGCTGACGATCCGTACCGCTGGGTAACTGCATCTTAAGCCAGTCTGGCTCGACATTGTGCGTTTTCAAAAACCCCACTAAGAGGCCAACATCTAGGCTGCTGTTCTTGATGGCTTCCGCGAGGATGAACCTCTGCCGTCGAGATGCGCGTCAGTGTCGATGGTCCGTAACTGGATGAAGACCTCCTGCTTACCTTTTCCTCCTCTGTAAAGGAGTAAGCCATCGCGAGAAGGGCTGGTAACTACCCGTACGGTTTTCATAAAAGAGAGAGATCTTGGACCGTAGAGGAGACGAGATAGGCATCTGCGACGCGGGGCTCTAACAAACGAGCGGATCGGCTATGCTAGCCGGTGGTGACGGGCGAAGAGTTACTGGGTAAACAACTATGGCAAGAGACAGGACGCAAAGCGCGCGTCCGGTGTCGACAGAGCCGGCACCGTCGACTAGAAGAGTCCTGTGACCAAGCAATCAACCTATATGGAAGGCAAGCGCGGCGGCGGAGAACAAAAGCTCGCGGCAAAGACGGAGAATAAGCGACGCCAGTATTCCTCTGGCACCGTTAGAAGAGAACGTCGACGGCTGCGTCTATAAAGACGAGACGCAATGAGAAGACAGAAACAGCTGGTGAAGAGGGAAGCGATCAGGCCGGCGCAAGCGCGCGTTCTCGACCTGAAGCCACCGTGAAGAAGGCCTCGCACCACAACGAAGTTGACGGGATGTTGGACGAGGCGCAATGAGGGGGGGTAACACAGCCTGGACAGGCCGTGTAGGAGGAAGTGGAGGCTTCGATTGTTTCGTTTGCTTCTGGGACCTAGGCCACTTTGCGACGAGGGCCTGCACGGCGCGCACTCGGGGACTGGCTGGTGCGACTAGGGTCAGGGTCGCATTTATCAGGCGTGTTTTGCGCGCGAGAGAGCCTGGGGGAAACAAGCGAGACAGGTTTGCCGAGAAGTCAGTTACGCGTTAGGCCTGTCTGGGAGACCTTCCAGGGTACTGGTTCTGTTGAATTTTGGTATCCGAATGGTAAGTTGGTCCGGCTGCTCGCAGCAAGGTTTAAAGGTCGGAGAGTTGCAAGGTGTTAGTTCTAGTAGTTAGCCTCGACTCGAACGGCGGGCGAGGCGGGCACTGTTTGTGTTAAGATCCGTGATGACGAGAGGGGAGTGTATTCTGGTCAGTCGTGATTTCTGGGAAACCTTTCGAGGCAACGATATCATGCGCAAAATGGATTAACGATTCGTATCTCCAAAAGTGCCTTTGCCTTGTTGGATGACCCTAGTGTAGAGTTGCAGTGTCCGAGCGAGGGTGGCTGGGGAATGCCCGCAGATCTGTCGACTGATGGCGATGACTGTCAAAAAGACGGCAGGCTGCGGCTCATTCATTAGGGCCCCGTCTGGAATGAGCAAAGCCTAGACCGGCGGGGAGGAGTGCCTGCTTAGGTGACGAAGTCGAAGCCGAGATGGAGTGCAGAAGATCGAATAGGAACACAGGCCGATTTAGCGTTTCCGGGAGAATTGTCAAGGCCGCTTCGTCTTGGACGGTAAACCAACTCTTTCTCGCTCGCCAACCGTTGATGATGGACTATCGCTGCACCGCCAATCTAGTCGGAAGTTGACGCTAGACAGTGCGCACAGAGAGAGAGAGGGAGGTGGGTTGGGTTGGTGGGTGGTATGGATGCTGAAAGTTGGCGCAAGCTGCTTGTAGGTGCATACGAACAGTCGAGATTCCAGAGGCTAGAATCAGGTTGAGAGCGCAACGACAAAGTGGTGGTGTGGTGTGGTGTGGTGTGGGAGTGATGAGGATGTTTGACTGGCGTCGTAGTCATCGTCCGCATCGGCTGCTCTTTGGGTGCGTCTTTGTCCATGTCAGGATGTCGTTGAGAAGCTCCTGTCTGCTTTTGTCATTGTCGCCGTCGCCGTCGCTGCCGCTGAATGCCTCTCGAAATCCTATACTACCCTATCTCGTCAGGGTTTCCCGTCCCTGGGCTGAGCTGTCTCTTGCGGCTGGCTTCTTTCGTCTTCCCCGGCAGTGGCTTTATTCCACGCGCCTCTCGCGCCTCCGATTCCGTCGCCGCTTTCTTGCTTTTTTGTCGGCAACCAACCGCATCCTTCTTGGCCATTTTCCCTGCGCATGTCTCACCAGTCCCCCAAAGTGGAAGAGGGTCCATTTGGTTGGCCGACAGGCACACCAAGAGGGCCTCAACTGGGCCTCTTTCGATCGCATTCGAGTTCGAGAACGGGGTCCGTCTCTCGTAATAGCTCGCAGGTTGATTCTCACTGGAGGCATCCGTAGCTACCCATCATATCACATATGACTGCATACGCTGTAGCTGTAGCTGTGCGCTGCGTTGCGTTGTGGGCTCTCCTCTTCCCTATGGTCGGTCTCCGATATGCAATCGACAGAGCATCCATCCCTGTCTCCCGCCCGTCCTGCACACATGCTTCGCTGCAGCACGGTCCCTCTGTCATGGTGCTAGTGGCCTAGCACTGGGCTGAGATGAGCCAGATGCAGGAGCGGTTCTCTGCGGAATGGGAGAGCAGCGTGCAGATGCACAAGTAGATGCAGTGCGATTCAAGGCTCTCCCTGGAGGTTGCGTCCGCTGGCCAATCCGGTGGATCGACATGGAGCGCCTGACTCTGGGTCGCTGCCACTTGCAGGACGTCATTGTCGTGGTGTTGGCCGAAAGCATGATACTCCCTGCTTGGTCATAATAAGAGACGTAAGCTTAAATGAGAAATAAAGTCGACCGTGAGGATGTTCGTCAGCACTAGCCAACAGTTGTGATTATGTCTGCGAGTGTTGAGGTCAAGATAGAGAAATAAGTACCGTAGGAAACGTCGCTGCCATCGCCAGCGACTGACTTCAGTCCAGCGTGTATTCGATTCGGCGCCACGAGGAAGGTGTGCTTGAATTGGGATGCGCCGGCCCCTCCTTCCCTTCCCCACCAACTAGGTTCGGCGAGTGTTCCGTCAGCAGGCGCCGCTTCTCGTCGTTCCTTCCCATCTCCATCTCAAAGGCCGGCAGTGCGTCATCCCATTCTCCCCTTACAAAATGCGCGCCGTTTGCCCCCAACATTGGAACATCAGACGTCGTTTTTGACGACAAAGACAGCAAAGGAAAAAATAAAATAAGAAAATTGATCGACGTACGACCGAATAAGGATATCTGGGCATCCTAGTGCCCGCGACAAAGTGGCAGTTCAACGCCCTCATTGGCCGCAGCACACTCAGGCCCAGTCCTATGCCAACTCTGGCAGGAAACCACTGGATTCCCTTTACGCCAATCATGGACCAAAACCGGCATCCGAGCCAGCACAGGGCACGGGTTCGTCACATCGTTCCGCTGTCAGAGAGCCGCAGCAAAAGGCAGCGCCGCATCTCAGTGGGCAATGGACTGAGGGCTGAATTTCCCTCCCGCCGATTGCTGCGTGCGGCGCCGCGGCCCAATCTGTGACCCCAAGGCAAAGAATGTCGATGTATCCGTGGTGGGGCTGAATCAGCAAAAATCCCAAGATGCTTCACAACTTGCGCTCGATAACGATAACGACAATGACAACAATGATGAGGTCAGGTCGAATATGAGTCGGATTGGACAGGTCGACGGATTGGATTTCACTTTACTGGGTCGCTGCGTTCGTCCACCGCCTCTTTATACCTACTGCCCACCTTGGCCACTTCATCCGGCTTCAGCGACGTCTTTGCTGCACAATGAGCTGGCATCCTCCCACTGGAAGGCCCCACCCATGTACAACGCGTCCATGTAAATGGCTCCGCCGTTTCCAGATGGCAGCAAACTACCTAGGTCGGCTGTCACTAGCAGTCGAGCATGCCCGAAGCTGGGTACGGCCACTACATGCTGGCTCTTCCATGCAACGGCATCGTTGCCACACAGTGAGGTCTGCATCACATCGCTGGGTTTCGTGCATCATGTTGCTTCAAACTACCCTTACCCTTTAGCTCCTGCTCACATCTTCTCGGCAGCTCATAATCGGTACGCTAGCAACTCGTCGGGCTGCGCAGGTTGTACTCGACTAGTTGACCATCGGATGAACATGGTTCAGTGGCAATGTTCTTCTATGGAGACGGCCTGGGTGGCTCGACTGTAGGTCCAAGTCGTCGATTCTGGGTCTCCTCCAAGATACATTTTGACTGAATTTTGGCTGATGCTCGATACCACATGGTGGTGGTAGTAGCAGTAGAGGCGAATGAATATCTAGCGACTCACCGTCTCCGCATACCACCTGGTGCAGATAAGGCTCCGACCTAATCTGGTACTCTCAATGCTCAGGGGTGTTCCTTATGTGGGATATAACAGAGACCAGGTGGATGCAAAGTGTCGGTGAGGAATAACCCAAAACTGAGTTTCCTGCTTGTAATGAACCCCAGCTTACGCATAAAATTGCCGATTGGTGCGCCTTTTCCGACCATACCGTCTCTCACCGTTGCCTTCTTTCATGTTTGTGTGGTTTCTACATTCTTTGGGCTGTACGGAGTATTTTGGGAAGATATCAAACTGTTTATGGCGGGTTTCCAACATGCGTCGGCTCGCCTACCCGCAAAGAATTGCGTTTTCCAGAGCGAGGAACAGGCCTATATGCATGCAACATGTACGATTTCCAAGGTTATGAATGGGTACCGCCACTAGATATCTCTACAGGCGAGAACACAACTAACACAGTCTATATCACCTGGAGTTGGGATCGAAAAGCAAAGCTCGGTGTGCTCTTTCGGAATAGCGCGTTGGGCAATTGGGCAATCATGAATTCATTGTGGCTTCAGTGACGTGGGACTCAACTAGAGAACTTGAAGCATCCCGTTCGTAAGTACCATTGTACTTCGTACCGGCTGGGGTCCTATGGTGGGGTTAATTCAGACGCAGCCATTGGGCAGATCTCCCGCATGCTATTCCTGGGGAAGTTGCGATCGAATTTCAAAAGGCCAGGCCTCGGGGCTCGGCGGTAGATATGATCCGAACAATTTGCACCACCGGTCGGATCGGGGTGCTGGCCGTGATTGACAATGGCTTACAGCTGTTGGCGGTGCTCCCAGGCTCAACCACAGGGAAGTGGCTAGGCTCTTAGACCCCAAGCCCAAGCGCGACGAGCTGAGTGGCTGCGCACCTTCGGAAACTGGTGCTGTGAGATAATCCTCGCCAGTGTCCGCCGTCCTTTGCGACTTCGTTCTGGATTCACACTACAACTTTTTTTTTCCTTCTCCGGAGGCTCTGTCGGCCAAAACAACAGCCCTTCTCTGGCACATCATATATCACGCAGGAATTCAACAGCCCCAATTGTATCTCCGGCACGTCGAGCGACTGTTTGCAATGCCGAGAATCTCTGGCTCCAACTAGTAATCGCTTCACCACCCAACGCGCCGTCGCCGCCTCTCGCAACTCGTCCCCCCCGTTTTCTCTCTCGCCTTCCCGTTCCTTCTTTCCTTCCCCACCCAACACAACAGCTCTTGCCCCTACATGCGCACCGACTTGGCTAAATCGCAAATTGCTCATTTTCCACCTCTCGATTTTTCTCTGAGCATCCGTCGCTGCTCGAGGCTTTGGACGACACGAACCGCGAATACCGTCACACATCCCTCGTCTCGCGCGCTCGCCCTACCGAGGGTTCCCGCACTTGCTTGATGGAGGATGAAGCGCTGGCGACGGTGAAGATGGAGGAGGTAAAGATTGAGGATGGTGTCCCGCCAAATGGCGTCAACATGGAGCGAGATCCAAGCAGGACATCGGCGCAGAAGAGGAGCAACCAGGGGTCTCGCTCTGCTAGCATGTCACCCAGTGAGGGCATGGTCAACAGCGAAGGCATCTCGACGCCAGGAGGCACGCAGCGACCGAAACTGTCACGCAAAGCATCGCAGAAGCCCGTCAAGCGCGAGTCGCCTCTATTCCACGATTTGCCAGACGTCACGGAGCAATCGTGCAGTACCTTCCAAGTCATACCCGATTGTCTGTATGGATCCAAGCACATGGGCTCGACCGACAACGATGCCCTCGATTGCGACTGCCGTTCTGAGTGGCGTAAGTTTCCCCGCCCTCCCTCGCTGCTGTGTGAAATCATCGCGAGCCCACTCCTCTAACTGAAATTCGCCTGTCTGCAGATGAAGGAAAAAATTTATCGTGCGGCGAAGACTCCGACTGCATCAACAGGGCGACGAAGATGGAGTGCCTCGCTGGCGCCGGCAACTGTGGTGATGGCTGCCAAAATCAGAGATTTCAGCGGAAGCAGTTCGCCAATGTTTCAGTGATCAAGACGGAGAAGAAGGGCTTCGGCCTCCGCGCCAACGTTGATATGCAGGCTAATGACTTCATTTTCGAGTACATTGGCGAGGTCATCAACGAGCCAACCTTTCGACGACGGATGATACAGTACGACGACGAGGGCATCAAGCATTTTTACTTCATGTCGCTGACCAAGCACGAATTCGTTGATGCGACAAAGAAGGGCAACCTGGGGCGCTTTTGCAACCACTCATGCAACCCGAATTGCTACGTCGACAAATGGGTCGTCGGAGAGAAGCTGCGCATGGGCATTTTCTCCTCACGCAAAATCAAAGCCGGTGAGGAGTTGGTGTTCAACTACAATGTTGACCGCTATGGGGCCGACCCCCAACCCTGCTACTGTGGCGAGTCGAATTGCACTGGATTCATTGGTGGCAAGACCCAAACCGAGCGGGCGACCAAGTTGCCCCTTACTACAGTGGAGGCGCTCGGCATTGACGACGGTGATGCCTGGGACACAGCGGTGGCCAAGAAGCCACGCAAAAAGAAGCCTGAGGAAGACGACGAGGAGTACGTTAACAGCGTGCAGGCTAGAAGCCTCGATGATGATGATGCGCGCAAGGTCATGGCGACTCTGATGCAGTGCAAGGAGAAATGGATTGCTGTCAAGCTGTTGCAGCGCATCCAGCAGTGTGAGGATGAGCGGGTCATCCACTCCGTCATGCGCATGCATGCCTACCAAATTCTCAAGACAACGCTCAACACCTTCATCGACGACCACAACGTCGTTCTCCAAGCTCTCGATATTCTCGACAAGTTTCCGCGACTGACCCGAAACAAGATTGAGGGCTCAAAGATTGAAGCCACCATTGGTGTACTCACTCAGTCAGAACATGAGGAGGTCAGCGCGAAATCGAAGAAGCTGTTGGACGAGTGGTCCAAATTGGAGCTCGGTTACCGCATCGGGAAGCGAAAGTTTGACCCCAACACATCTGCCACGAACTCCTTCCAAGAGAGGCGCAACATGGATCGTGAAGAGGATGTGACTGCGAAATCGACTCCTGACCCCCTTCAGAATGTCGAAATTCCCAAAGGACCTCGGAGCAACATTCCTCAACGCAACACACATTTCTTCAATGGCCCTCCACGCCAACGAAGACACCAGAACTTCAACGGTCATGGAGCATTACCACTCGGATGGTTTACAGCGACGGATCAGCGTGGGAACACGTACTTCTACAGCAAGAGTGGTGCTACGACCTGGCAACGTCCCACCAAGCCCGCTGACGCTCAAAAGGCGACGCCCAAGGCGTTGCAAGAGCAGCAGCTTCTTAAGAACATTATCGACCAAGTCACCAAGGAGCAAACCCCCAGACCTTCGGCATCACAGACACCTCAACGCGCAGAGACTCCCGTTCGGGAGAATAAGCAGGAAAAGTGGCGCTCTCTTAGCATCGACAA